GCATTTCTCTAATGATTAGAGATGTTGAGCACTTTTTTATATGTTTGCTGGCCATTAGTCTGTCTTCTTTTGAAAAGTTTCTGTTAATGTCCTTTGTCCATTTATTGATCAGGTTGTTTGATTTTTTCTTGTTGATTTTCTTAAGTTTTATCAGGTTCTTTACAACATGGTGGGCCCAGGGTAGTTAGACTTCTTACATGTGGTCACTGGCTCACAATAGGGAGCCTACCAAGTGGCAAAGGCAGAATCTCCAGGTCTTTAAGGCCTTGCCTCATAAATTTTAAGTTACTTCATCACATTCTCCTTGTCAAATCAAGTCACAGGGCCAGCCCAGATTAATGGGGCATGGGAAATTGTTTCTACCTCTTTGCTGAGTGGCAAAGAATTTGTGGTTATCTTCAATTCACCATACTCATTCTGCCTCATGAAAAAATGAGTCTAGATCAAAGTAACTAACCAATTTGAAAGAGAAACTATTAAACATTAAAACAAAACAAGCGAACAGAAATTATTACAAGCCACTCTGGTAAGGTCCATAAGAATAGATTTAACATGATGTCAGATATTTTCTAAAATATATGAAAATGCCAGAAACAACCCCAATGTATAAGCTCTTTTATAATCAATACAACTAATTGTATTAAAATAACTAGGCAAGAGAAAAAATAAGAATAACAACCTAGCGCAATATGCTGCAGGCAATACATTTTATTTGAAGCAATACAAACACATATACATGAAGAATACAAAATACTTAATATAAGACATTAATTTACAAAATTATCAGTTATGCAACTATGATTCTGCAGTTCTGTTGCACTGGGACTATAGGTTTGAGTTTATTTGTCACCACACTTCTCTTGTATCGTCTGAGAAACTGAGCAGAGTTGAATCTCCTTAATTCTAGGGCAAGAGTGTACCTGAGAAATTCAGGTGGATCATTAAGCAATCATTAAGAAGACAGATAGTTCTGTGTATTCTATCTCTGGAGAGAGAGAGGACAAATTTTGAATTGCTAACAATCCTGTTAAGTGATACTTTTTAGGGAGGAGAGGTGTTGAAAATGTTCCATTTCTATTTTAACACACCAATATTATTTAACTGCTTTCAACCATAGGAATACATTAATTTAGTACTTTAATAAATATGCAAAAATATTTTGGGCACTTTGGTAAGCTGGAGAGGATGAAGAAAGGAGGGAGGAGCTGTCCGTCCTCATTTCTCTCTCTGGGCCAGAGGTCTGTATAGTCCTATAGATGCGGATTCTATAAAAAGCAGCCCCATGTGCACTTGGCTATGAAGGGGCAGTGGGAGGGGACTATGGGTAGAGATCTGGATCTTTGTGTCATCCATCCAGCCCTCTCACAAATATCTCTCTGAAGCTACTTTCTGCTCCTGGCTGCATATTTGAGTGCTGGGTTAGTTTGCCCATACTCATATGGTGGCTGAAGAATCATGGGATGTTTTCATGTTTATTTCAAGAGAATTTTACAGTCCAGTTGCTTGGGGTGTATCTGGGCAAGGTTGGGAGTGTGGAAGATTGTGGCAGTGAGAAGCACCAGGGATCACTCCCTTGGCCTTGGGCCTATTGCTTTGGCCAAATGGTGGGGTCTGAGCCACCTGCGGAGCATTCTGAGCCAAAGATATTCTAGTGAAGTTTGTGAGCCTGAGACAAGTACTCCCTATGACAAGTATGGGAGTACTTGTGTCTGGCCCCAGTTTCTTCACACAGATGTAAAGGAACATTCAAGGGCCACTTGAGAGGGGGAAGGGGAATGAGGAAAATGACATGCAGCCCTAAGGAGGGTGGGCCTTGGCACTGGTGGGAGAGCCTCACAGGCCCCTGGAAGCTGGTTAACATGAACATTAGGATTCTATACATTCTGTCTGCTGATACTACTCTCCTCTTCATGACTGCTTCCTCTGTGAGTCAGTGCTAAGCTGTCTGCCTACACTCCCTCCCTCCAAGCTATGAAGCACCCCACCAAAGTTACTGCTCGGCTCTGGCCACAGTTCTAGCCAGAACATTTACTGTCTACCAGGATCTCAGAGCTCTCTCAGAGGGAATGCTCATGGCTGCCTCATTTGGTTTCCTCCTGAATCCCTCTGCCAAGGGGTTGTAGGAAGAGGAACAGGGCAGCATCTGCCTAATCATATCTGTATTCCCATCACACCTGCCTGGACCTAATGGCCTCAAAGGAGTCTAGTGCACATTAATTGTTCAGTGGAAGGGCATGTGATTTAGAGTCAAAGGGGATAGAATGATTGTATATTGCAACCAACCTCTTGCTCTCTTGAGTTTAGGCAAGTCTTCAACTTTTGGGTCTCAGGCTCCAAAGTGCCCATTCCCATGCATGGTGCTTGCCATGGGTTAGTGAAACGGCCCCAGTCAATTACCCAGCCCAGTGCCTGCCACAGAAAGTGTGCTTCCAGGAGAGAACCCTGACCATTTCTTCTTGGGAATATTAAGACCTGGGCATGAAAGGTAGAGCTGGACACTACCTCTGTCCCAGCCAGGCCCACCCTCCACTGTGATCTGTCAATGGCCAGGGACCTATCTCTGACATTTCTTATCCCTCCCTTTCATTCTATCCACTGAACATTTGTGGAGCAGCTAGTAAACACTGTCAAATGCCAAAGATAGAAGTAGGAGAGCAGATCCCTGACTCCCCTCAGGAGCTTCTCATCTAGTGGGGGGTTACATAGAGCAGGAGAGCCCAAGTGCTCACATTCCTTCTACCCACTTTTTTCACTGCCCATCCTTGTGTGGGTGTGATCCTCTTCCTCTTTCTACATGGGCCTCAGCCCTGTTTCTCTCCTCTCTCCTCACACTTCTATGGATGACCATTCAATACTATTGTAAAAGACTGAATAAGATTTCCTTAAAAATCTATTCAGCCATTTTTATTATGTCAGTCATCATTTCACAATGGAGACTGATTCATGATCAGAGATAGAACATACTGAACAATTTGAAGAGTATTTTGGGGCACTTTGTGCAGCCACCTCTTCTAATTTTTATCTCACACCTGCATCCTGAGATTCTTTCATTCACCAAACATTTATGGAGCCCCTACTTTGGGCCAGGCACTTTTCTAGGCACTAGAAATAGAGCAGCTAGCAAAGGAGAGTGCTTCTCTGCATGGACTTACATTCTAAAGTGGAAGCAGATGATGAACAAAGTGCTACATGATATGGTGGCCCATAGTATGATAAACGCTATGTAGAGACCTGAAGTAGTGTAGGGGGTTAGAGATTGCTGGCAGAGAACAGGGTGCTTTGACAGATGGGGTAGTCAGAAAATCCCTCTCTGAAAGCACTGGGAGGAGTCAGGCCGCTAACTGGGGAGAGAGCCTTGCAAGGTGGAAGGGATAGAATCTGCAAAAGCCTGAGGCCAGAGCTACTTGATGTGTGTGACAATCTGCAGGGAGGGCAGTGTGATTAGAGTAGAGCAGAAAATGGGAAGAGGCACAAATGATAAGCCAGAGGCAGCAGTTTGTAGGCAGCAGCTGCTACCTTGCTCTTTATTCTGAGGGGAATCTTTTGGAAGGTTTTGAGAAGGGGAGTGAAGGGATCTAACTTTTGTTCTAAAGAATTCCTGTGGCTACTCTGTGGAGAATATACTACAGGAAGAGAAGACTGAAAGCTAAGCAATTAGTTGAGCAGTATTAATAAGAAAGGAAGGCTGGGATCAGGTTGGTAGTGGTAGAATTGACAAGAAGTGATTGAATTGGGGATTTTTTTTTATTTTTTTTTTTTATTTCGGCATACTACGGGGGCACAAACGTTTAAGTTACATATATTGCCTTTGCCTCACCCGAGTCAGAGCTTCAAGCATGTCCATCCTCCAGATGGTGCACACTGCACCCATTATGTGTGTGTATATATGTACCCATCCCCTCCTTCCCACTCCCATCTGCCCAACACTTGATGAATGTTATTACTATATATGCACTTAAGTGTTGATAAGTTAATACCAATTTGATGGTGAGTACTTGGTAATACCAATTTGATGGTGATTGGTAATACCAATTTGATGTGGTGCTTGTTTTCCCATTCTTGGGATATTTCACTTAGTAGAATGGGCTCCAGCTCTATTCAGGATAATAAAAGAGGTGCCAGATCACCATTGTTTTTTGTGGCTGAGTAGAACTCCATGGTATATGGGGATATATTTTACATGCAGATCCAACAGTTTATTATATTGGCTCTAACGTCAAGGACCCAACTCAGCTGTCAACAACTATTTGAAAAATCACATTCAAAGTAGAAAAACAAAATCATTGAAAAATACAAACTTCTTAACGGTTTATTTATTGTTAAGTAAAGAATAGTACCCAGTGGCCAAGGCACTAATGTCAGGACATGAAATAGACTCAAAGACGGGCACGATCCCTGCAATTGGTTATCAGATGTGGATTTTGCAGAACATTTTATAGTTCGCTATTTAGTTTTTTTAAAGAGAGGTAAATATTATTATTTCCCAACTAAAGAAAGTCCCTGTTTAAATGCTGCTTTTTCATGAAAAAGACTCCTGAGGGTCTTTATAACTCTGAAAGGATGTGTGACTCCCGCAGTGCGGCCAGCAGTGTCAATGCTCCGCTGGGTGAGATTTAAATAAGAATATGTGTGTTAAAGCATCAAGCCAAGGGAATCTAGTGTGTGCAGGCCCACAAAGGAACATTGAATTGTGAGAGTAGGCTGGGGAGAAGGGTGGTTGATCCTTTCAGCTTGAGCATGTTGGCTCTCTCTGAGATGGGTCTCAGCACTCGCCGAGTCCTCTGCTAATACAGGCCATACATCGGGGCTCAGCCGTCCTTCCCAGTCTTTACTCGCCTGCCAGAACGACCAACCGCCAGCTGCTCTGCGACCCTGCGCGGCCAGTTCCTGGCCACGCCCTGCCTGGCTATGACTCCTCAACCTCGCCCGCCCCATCCTGGCCACGCCCCCACGCTGTCCCGGCCTCTTCCCTGGCCACGCCCCTCCTGCATCGCGCCCGCGCACCAGCGGCCCGAAGGCCCTTGTGAGCCGAGCTTGCGCAGCAGCGCGACCCCGGCGCGCACCCCCCGCCCCTGGCCACCGCTCGCCTCCGCGGACACGTACTTCCTGCGAGGCCTCCGTGCGCACCTTGGCCGAGGGGAGCTGAACCGAGCCGAGCCCTGCCCTTCCAAGCTGTTCGCAATGGTGGACGAGCTGGTGCTGCTGCTGCATGCGCTCCTGATGCGACACAGAGCCCTGAGCATTGAGAACAGCCAGCTCATGGAACAGCTGCGGCTGCTAGTGTGCGAGAGGGCCAGCCTGCTGCGCCAGGTACGTCCGCCAAGCTGCCCGGTGCCCTTCCCTGAAACGTTTAATGGCGAGAGCTCCCGGCTCCCCGAGTTTATTGTGCAGACGGCGTCTTACATGCTTGTGAATGAGAACCGATTCTGCAACGACGCCATGAAGGTGGCCTTCCTAATCAGCCTCCTCACCGGGGAAGCCGAGGAGTGGGTGGTGCCCTACATCGAAATGGATAGCCCCATCCTAGGTGATTACCGGGCTTTTCTTGAGGAGATGAAACAGTGTTTTGGATGGGATGACGACGAAGACGACTACGACGACGAGGAGGATGATTACTAGGCCCGAGCCCTTCGGGTCTTGGTGAGGGGGGCTGCTGCACGTCACCACCTCCTCCCCCCACCCCCACCTCGGCCACTCCAGGAGCTGTCCTGCTCCCCCTTGCCCTCAGGGCCTCTTCCCTACCCCTGCCCTTCTGTTTCCTCCTTTATCCTGTCGTAGTGCTTGTCTTTGTTCCAGGAATAGCGCTCCAGTTAACTGCTGCTGGGGCTGGGGCTGGGGCTGGGGCTGGGGCTGAAGCTGAAGCTGGGACCTGGCTCAGAATCGCACCGTCATCCACTCTGGCCAGCCCCAGGACCCCTCCCCTGCTAATCCGAACTGTGTCCTGAGCCCCAGCTGTTCCAGGCCCTTGTTACAAACTGGTCAGACCACCCACAGAACTGCTGCCACCCGCTGACTGCCAGGCCTACATCTGCCCAGAGACCTATGCTGCTGCTTCACCACCACTCACCACATCCCACTGAACAGACCACCACCTTTGGAGATAAGGACCAACCTAGAAGGTGCCTGCCTGAGTTGGCTATACCTCTTTGGACATTGATATGGACGGCTCACCAATTCCTGAAGGGGCCAGTCATTCAACCTGGTTAGTTTTCTACCTACTTCTAGGGGCATCCCTTGCCCCCCCAGATTGCCACAGGGACCTGGTGTGCCTGGCAGCCAGATTGTTGACATTTCTTTTCTTTTTGCCTATGCACAGGTTTTATACAGCTGTTGTTTTTCTTTCAAAATTGCAGCAGTCCCACAGATGTGTGCGTTTGAACAAATAATATTAAAAACAAACAGGCACTCAGTCCAGCTCCTCAATATTATCTGGAAAAAGCATTGACATTCTTTTCAATAAAGATCAAGCACTACAAAAAAAAAGAGAAAGAAATGACTGTCGTTTAATGGTTAAGTGCTGTCATTGGCCTCTGCCACTGTCACTCTGACTTCCATTATTCCCTTCGTGATCAGGGAACCCAGTCAATCCCAGTATTCCCCACAGTCATCTCTAGGCTACAGAGGACAGCTACCTCAGGGCCTTATAGGGTTTCTCGTGCTCCCCTCACTAAGGCATTTCTTAAAGCCCTGGTGAAGGGGATTTCTTCTGGGGACCTCCAGGGTAGCATGGGTAAGGGGTGGCTGACCAGATGGCCCAGGATCCCAAAGAAGAACACTTTTGAGAGTGAAAGGAAGCAGTATTAATTAGATTGTGACAACAGGCATAAACCTGGACACATATGATGTTCCTATTTTCCTGAGATTTTTGATTCTTTAGCACTGTCAGGGAAGTTCTGCCCATTAATTCTTATTAACTCTGGGCAGGTGTTTGAGTTCAGGCTCCAAATAACCCACAGAGTACATTGTTTTAATGCCACTTTCCAGTGCTCGAGCTAACCTTAAATCCTAGCTCTTGGGTGCATGCACCCGTAAGATTATAGCCTGATCTTAAACATTTCACCCTCCTTGGACAGACATCCTTAGAATCTCCACCCATAAATATGCTCCAGATTCCTGCCTATGGGATTTAGAAAGATGCTTGGCAATCTCCTAAATCAGACCTTGTACTGCTATCTGGGCTATGCTGAAATCTCTATGGGCGTGGATGTTTCGCAGGCAGTGAAAGCGTACTGGTGGCAGCTGAGAAGAATCTGCATACCTTTGTGATACCATTACCCTAGGTTAAGTCAGTGAAATATTTAATGCAGAGAAGCTTGGTTGGGGGATTTGGGGGACTATCTCTGGTAGGCAGGAGGGCTCAGGAGGATTTGAGGGGTTCAGAGTTCTCATATCTTGCCAGATGTCCTCATTGTACCATACCTGGAGCCAGCCTGACCTCAGGACCTCTAATTTAAATAATACATTTCCTTACTGTTTAAGGGCTTTTGAGGCAGAATATTTTATTTGTACTGGTAAGCCTCACAGTAGGGATTACATGAGATACTGGGCATCATATTAATTACCTCACCAATGTGGGGTAAATGAGATCATACCCATGAGGCATTTAGAATTATCCCTGCTAAATGGTGAACACTCGGTAAGCATGGGCTGTCACTCCCAGGCCTGAGAATCAAAGTCTCAGGAAGCAGGTCTCTGGCTCTAAGCTTAGGTTTAGTAGGAAAATGTCAGGGGTGAAGAGGAGCAAAGCAGGTTCAGGGAGAGTGGAAATGAGAGCACGCCAGGCAACATTTGCCCTTGGAGGTCTGACATGAAGTCAGAAAGAAAGCTGCTTGACCTGGTGAACAGGAAAAGTCCAGGGCAGGAGTTATTCCTTGGGCCTTGGACAGTTGTTTCTGGAGGATGGGGATGGGTGGGTATTATGACAAAGGAGGCTGAGGTCTGGGTGGAAATGAAATGTGGGGCTCCTCATGGAGCTGCTCTCTCCAAACCTGAATATAAAGGTGATTCCTCGTTATTTAGTATTAATTGATCACTTCCCCCAGTCTCCTTGGAAAACATACAAAGACCTTTGCAAGAGTAAGAGGTTACATTTCAGACATAGTATGTATGAGGCCAGAAAATACCACTTCCTAACTAGAAAAGCCTCGAACTGGGGATGGATGTAGAAAAGTGGTGGGCAAGAGCTGAAAGTTAGGTAAAGGACCCAGCAAAGCCAAAAATTAGCCAGTCATTCCAAATTGATAATGGCCCAGGTATGCTGAGAGGAGCTAGAGATTTGCTGAGTGAAATGTGGTCCTGCCCTCACAGGTTCCAGTCTGCTGCTTTTATCGTTTCTTGGGACAGAACTGAGATGGTAACTAGTTACAGGGAAGGGCCAGGAAAAGAATCTTGGCTGTAGTTAGATCTGGGAGTGACCCTTCTGGGGTGGAAGTTGAGGACACATGAGTAGATGAGATCTACTCCCTACTACCAAGCCGAGTGAGCACCTGATCTGAGGGGGAAGGAAAGGGTCTCCAGTCTGAGGATGCCATGCCAAGGTGGCATCTGAGCCACATCTGGGAGAGCTAGGCCAAGGAGCTTTGGTGATCTGAAATGTACATTTCCTGAGCATGTATGCATGTGCACGGGAGCTTACTATGACTGTGTGTGTTGTGCTTATGTATGTTTGTTAGGTGATGTCCTTCACTCATGTAAAAACAGGTTATACTGTAAGCTCCAGAGAAGGAAAGTGTGACACTCTGGTTACTTTGGGGACAGACTCTGCAGTAAAAATGCAGATACTGTCAAGGACTGTACCACCCAGGGAGGAATTCATGATAATGGCATAGGCATTGCAAAAAATAGATAATCATGTCTAAAGATAAAATTACCACTTAGAGAAAAACTATTAAAAAAAGGTAGAAATGCTGAAATAACAAATATGAACTTCAGACTCCTGAATTCTCGTCTTAGGCATATTAGACTTGAAATGGCCACTGTAATTGTACTGTCAATAAAATGAAATTATTCATATTAAAGGTCATAATCATTTAATCATATTAAATCTGCCAATATATCTTTGGACTTTTCTATTCATTCGAATAGATAAGCATTGCCATCCATTAGTTCTGTGTTACTCCGTTTTGCAGAATGGTATAGAAAGCTAGAAGTATGTTACACACATTGCATATTTGATTTTTTGTTCTGCTATTAAAACAGTGAAAACCTCAGCAATGTGGAAGTAGGCAAACTAGAGGGAGAACTCTTGTTGAAATTAGTGGAATATTTGCATTTTTAAAAATGCACTTTAAGTTTCTAGGTTCTTAAAGCAATTAAAACCAAGCTAATAAAGCTGTGTCAATTTAAGGTCCTGAGAATGTTTTCCTCAATGGTTAGAGTGGGATAATTGTATGAAGAATGTTTATTATTTGGGTTGAAATATGGATTTTGTTAAAGTAGTGTTAAAAGTGTCTGGCAGCAGTTTGCATTACTGAGTAGGTCAAGTATATTCTCTACAGTCTTATCCGACTTAGTTCTAAAGGTAGATACAGTGGACAATGACCTGTTTGGTGTCCTTTGACAGTACTGGTAACCCCCTACCCTTAATGAAAATATGATCATCTACTTGCATTTTTTTCCCTCCTGCCTGAAATGCCTATTAGAATTTGTTCCTTTTTCTTCAATGTTCTATTGTCTAGAGCAGTGGTCCTAAACCTTTTTGGCACCAAGGACAGGATTCATGGAAGACAATTTTTCCACAGACGGTGGCGGGGTGGGGGATGGTTTGGGGATGATTCAAGTGCATTACAATTTATTGAGCAAACCTCTCTGCTAATGATAATCTGTATTTGCAGCTGCTCCCCAGTGCTAGAATCTCCACCTCAGATCATAAGGCATTAGATTCTCATAAGGAGCATACAAGCTAGATCCCTCGCATGCAGTTTATAGTAGGGTTCACACTCCTATGAAAATTTAATGTCATCGCTGATCTGACAGGAGGTGGAGCTTATATGGTGATGCCAGCAATGAGGAGTGGTTGTAAATACAGGTGAAACTTTGCTAGCTCACCTCCTCCTAACAAACCACTCACGGACCAGTACCGGTTTATGGGTGGGGAATTGGGGACTGCAGGTCTAGAGACGTTTTTCTTCTCCATCCTGGGATAAGTAATAGCTTCCTTGAAAGGATTATGAACACCATAGCGAGGTTTGTTAATGGAGCGGAAGCCCTACCCTGGATGAGTTGGGGGAGGAGTAGGGAGATGCTGCAAAGGATGTTCCAGAATAGCCAGATATAGCAACGTTTGTGTACCTCCCTTTCTCCCTTCAGAGGCTGGTATCCATTTTAAGGTCAGTAACACATTTATTTTTCTTATGATTCTATCTACAACATTTACATACCTACTCTTCCCTCCCTAAATGACTAATGATTTCATCAGCAAATTTGCAATAATATAATTCTTATATGTTCATCAAAGTCCCTATGCAGTCAGTTTAATTGAATGGATCAGTCATTTCAGAATCTGGTCAGCTCAAGTTACAAAACTGTCACACAAGTTGTTTATATGTGTTATTTTAAAGCTTTAGTTTTAAAACAAATAATATCAATAAAAGAAAGCAAAGGGAATTATATTTCAATGGTAACTGAAAGAATTGTGATAGTTCTGATTTATCTGTTCTTTAGATGCAGATAATTGCACTGCCATATAGGACTTTTAGAAACTGCTCATTTGAATATACACAATCAAATTTTTAACATATACAAAAGTAGAGAGAATGGTATAATCAACCCATATAGACTCATCTCCTGGATTCAAACATTATCAACATTTTTGTTTCATCTACCCCTTTACTTTCTTATAATTTTTAAAGAATGTTTTAAAACAAATCCCAGGTATCACATTAATTTACCCTTCAACACTTCCATATGTTTCTCTAACAGATAAGGCCTTCAAAAACATAATCCACAATATCATCACACCTCCTAAAATTAGCAATGCCTCCTTAATATTTAATATATAATCCATATTCAAATATCCCCAGTGTCTTCAAAATGTCTTTTTAATTGTTTGTTTGAATTAGATTCCCAAAAATGTCAGCACATTGCATTTGGTTTCTATATCCCTTAAGCTTCCTTTAATTGATAACATTTCTTCCCACCCTTTTTATTCTCTTCAATTTATTCTTTGAGGAAACCAGGTCATTTGCCTATGGAATTTCCTGTATTCAGGATTTGCTTTATTCTTTTCATATGCTTGCCCAATTTTCTCTTGCATTGTTAATGTTTCCGTCTCAATATTTTAGAAGCTCTTTATTTACTAGGGATCTGTGATATACGTTGGAAATATTTATGCCCAATTTGTCATTAGCCTTTTGGTTTTCTTTATGATGTTTTGGGCTGTTGAGAAAATGTTTAGTATATTTCCATTTTTTTCCACTCTCTCCTCCCATCTCTGTGCTCCCCGATTTA